TTCAGAGCCGTTGTGTCCTTGAGCATGTCCCTTCACCCTCATTACCAACTAATGGTGGTCGGAGAGAGAGTACGGCAGCCTCACTTCTGTCAGTGAGCCCCAGGGCAGCTATGGCTACAATGTAGATTACCACCCTCCACTGATGGTGAATATCTGAATGTAGAGTAAAGTGTTTTGGTCAAGTCTCTTGACTTAAAAAAGTACTATATAAGTACAGGATGTTTACTATTTACAGTTCAAATACAAATCCATACAGGACACATTTAGGAGTGTGTTTTATCTGTTGTTAAGGTTTTGGTTTCTCCAGCAGGAGTGATAGATTCAATCTCATGTCAGGGTGCTTTAATGCTGACTGTTAACTCAGTAAATGAATGATTACACCCAATGCTACTGCTTGTATTACAATCATTTAGGGCTGAAACAATTAATTGGATTAAACGTGATAAATCGATAATTGAAATAATCTTCAACTAATTTAGTAATTGATTAATCGTTAACTGGGATGCAGAGACTAAAATGTGCCTTTAGCTGACAGAGCAACCTACTTAGAGCAGTAATTATATCGAAATTGTAAAAAGTATATAAATATTTTGCATTTAAGATTAAAAAAAATGTTTTCATCTGTCAATATGTTCTATTGAGAACTCCACATGTGGAAAAGTTTTAGTTTCACCTGGTTTAATTTTGTAAGAAAAATCTCCTCAAAGGAACTGTTTATCAATCGAATAATTAAAAAAAAGGACAGATTAATCGATTTGCAAAAAAATTGTTAGTTGCAATCCTACAATCATTACAGTAATATCAGTGACTCCTTAAAAAACGACTCATGAGTACAGCATACTTTGCAACAGTAGGCCAAGCAGTGATCAATGGGTTCAAAGGTCGGACGTGAATGTGAAGAGCATTACATATTGGATGCATGCAGGCTCTGCTGCAGATGCAAAGGAGGTAGTATTAGCAACAAAGTATGAGGTAAGTTCCTCTGTGTCTCTCCCTGTCTTTGTCTCTCACCCTCATGAGAGGCCCTGTTAGTTTAGCTGCTAAGCTTTCCCTGGAAACACATGATGGACAGATAGAGATGTTGAAACAGGGAGTAGAGGAAACAGGAACTCGGAGAAAGAGAACAAATGTCATTTTACTAGTCTTCATTTAAATTAGCTGAGATTGCATTTTCAATAAGGTACTTATTCTGTTGCTTTTCATTATTATTTATGCCATCTGATCTAAGATTTATCTTTATTTGTAAAGTCACTAAAAAGTCTGCATCAAACTGCTGTCCTTGTGTTGTTGTTTTTTTCATGACTCAGCATGTCTGCTTGCATTAAGGTTTTGTTTACTGCCTAAGTCAGATTTGCAAAGACACTATTAACTCACTGATTCCTCAACGAGACACTATTAAGACACACAGAGACTCAGGATTAACAAGTTTAGCTTTTAAGGAGCATTGAGAAATGCTTGTTTTGCATTTCCCTGCTCACCAGTCTTAGATTGACATCTTTGTATTAAAATATATAGTTTTAAGCCTTTTAAGTTAAATTCAAGAGAGATAATAGAGGAGTGGAGACACAGAATATGACAGAGTCATATTCTGTCTTTGTGTAATGATAACCGTTAAAAAAATATATATATTTTACAGTTAATAACAATTATTTTAGATACAAGGTTAATCATTTAGCTCATTCTAAAATGAAAGACTGATATTTGTTTTAAAATAAGATAAGCATTGTATTAAAAGGGAGGTTGGCTGCCTGTATATTTTATATTAACAAATAAGTAATATCACATGCTATAAATAAGTACAAACATTAGAAGAAACAATATTTCTCATTTAAACCTGCTGACAGAAAAAACATGAGATCCCTTTATGTTTTAATCTTTCAATGTAGAGTGATTTAAAATACTTAAATTATGTCCCTTTTGTTGGCACTGCAGCAATTAACCTCAATATTTTTTTTTATAATTTTTAAGCATTAAACCAATACAGACTGGTACACGGATGTGAAGGTAAATGATAGATTAATTTAATGTTTTCTTTTATGATACCCCGTTAAATTTGATGTGCACACTAAATTAAAGGGCTAGCTCATTATGAGCTGTTTAAAACTGTCTGGTCATAAATCCAAATAACTTATTTGGACTGTTCTTTTCTGTACAGATATTTTCAAATGGCTAATGCTAGATGAAATGCTTTATATTATTTGTCAAATTTTCGAAAAAGGTACTTTGTAGAAGAAGAGGCTTGACCAGGGTGACATTCAGGTGCGAGCTCTCATAAGGACATATGCGCTTCTTGTCTGGATAACATTTTCCCTAATTGTAAGTTTTTAGGTTGTTTGGTAGTTGGTTTGTTTTTCTCAGATGTTTTTTCTCAGATAAGTATTTTGTAACATGGCAAATGCTTCTGATTTTGCATTATAATATAACCCTGCCCAAAACTTACCCACAGATTTATCCCTGATCTGTATGCTGTTTCCTTGATCTCCATTATGGTTTTTTCACTCAAATTTTATTTCTAAAAAAAGAAAAAAAAAAGGGGGGGTGGGGGTAGCTTTAAAGAACACCTGAGAAATGCTTGGTATTCAGAGGACAGCCACATGAAATAAGAGATTTGATCAAACAGAAATACTGAATAAGAGGTGGGAAAGATGTTCCATTAAGTAACCTTCAGGAATTTATATTGTGATGTCAAACCAGGATAAAATATGGTAAGGTGTGATGATTTTTTTTACATAATCATGTGCAGAGGTGTCAAGTACACTTTTTAAGTATCTATACCATTACTTATTTTTATTGCTACTCCTGACTCCTACTCATTACATTTTCACACAAGTATCTGTACTTTCTATTCCTTACATTTTTAAAACAACTGTTACTCGTTACTCTTGGCTTCGGTTTAATGCAGGGATCATGGATTAGCAGACCAAGGTCCGGTGTAATGCCAAAAAGTGTGTGCCTGCCGAGATATGCATCCCCAGGGCGGGTTTTATGAAAAATATTAAATCCAAAGATTATGACCGAGGTACGGCTGATTTATTTGTTGTAGTCTCTTGTTATTCACACACAACAATAAACAGTGATGGCCGACGGGAGTTTGGAAAGTGCAAAGCTTTGTCTGAAGCGGAAAATCAAACGTGCATCTACCCAGCACAGCGTTCACAGACCAGTGTGACGCATTCACAAGCGTCAGATAGCTATGGTGCATTCAGGAGCATGGGACATTACCCACTTACAAGGAAAGAGACATAATGGGAACAGAACGTAACTCATACAAAAATGTATTTATTGAGAAACAGTGTAGGCTTTCTTACAATACTGAATGCTCTATAATTGTATTTCTGTTATTTTTTTGATTAAGCACATCTGCTAGCTTTCCGAGCACATCTGCTAAAGCCTGTTTAAAAGGTCCAAATTAATCTTCAGATCATACAGCGACAATTGCACTGTCATTGTTTTACAGGGCAGAATTTACATTTGATGACCCTTGTCCTTAAACTACTCATGGATATACAGCAGAGGTGCTCAAGTCTAGTCCTCAACAGTTACCATCCTGTCACTTTTAGATGCATCTCTTCTCTAACACACCTGAATCAAGAGGCTCAATCCCCTCATTAAGCCCAGCAGAGGCATGTTAACCAGCCACTCATCTGATTCAGGTGTGTTAAAAATGGTTGCATCAAAAAGTTGCAGGATAGTAGCTCTTGAGGACTGGACTTGAGTACCACTGATATACAGGAATACAGTCATTCAAATGTCAACTCATCTGAGAGCACGGGATGCCATTTTTGGCAATTTCTATTTATTTTTTATTTAAAAATTCAATGTATAACATGAATGCATAAATACCTCATTTTTTTCAGTGTTAAATTCTGTTTAAAGTACAGATCATTAAAAATGTCTCCAGACCTTTATTGGTTGATGATTTTCTTTATTCGTACCCCACTGATTTTTAATTGGTTACCCCTGGTTTAATGTTTATAAATATTTATTTAACATCATGTGCGCCATCCAATGCAGATCATTGGCCTAGTGTAATTGGATAAGTCATATAACACAAACTCCCATTGGTTAGCTAAAGGAAATAATCAGAAGCAAGCAGGTGTTCTTCAAACTGCAAATGTGAATTATCTATGCCATGCTACAATATAGGATTCAGAAAAAGATGTTGAAATGTCTGAAAGGTCGTACACAGGCGAGAGCGTATCGGGAGATGAAGACGGAGACCAACAAGACCTCCCTCATCCTTTGCCATATCTCAAAGAATTTTTCAAAATAGTCGAATAATTGAGCTTTCAATTCATATAGTGGCATCTGGCTGTTATTTTTTTAAAGGTTACTTTATACTTTTATACTTTAAGTATTTTTTGAAACACATACTTTTCTTTTTTACTTGAGTAAAGAGGTCAAGTTGATACTTCAGCTTTTACCAGAGTGTGTTTAAACTGCAGTATCTATACTTCTACTTAAGTAACAAATGTGTACTTTTGACAACACTGTTCATGTGCACTGTAATTTTCACTCCGAGGGATTGTCCACAGTGGGGCAGCATAGAATCTATAGTTCATCTACAGGCCCACAGCAGATGTGTTTGTTTCAATAGTCGAGTTATTATCTCAGTTCTAGGACAGCCAGAGTCTGATCTGACAATATAAAAAGGTGGTAGAATAGAAATCATTTGTTACATATAGCAAATAGTTTTACAGTCTCTCTGAGTGAAACTTTATCGAATGATGGGCAGCAACCAAAGGAGGTAATCTGATGAGTCCCCCTGTGAAGGACTGAGAGTTACAGCAAAATAGGACACAAATAAAACCAGATTTGAGAAAAAAAATAAAAACATAAAAAGGTAGCGAGGCAGCGAGACATTGCCAGAGTGTTGAACATGTGAACCGCAAGAGAGGGATAAGGGGGGCAGGCAGAGAGAGGAGGGAATTGTTGCAAACAGGGATTTGCGGGGGGGGCAGTCAGTGACAGAGAGCTATACCCACACACATAGATACACACCCAAATACACACATTCTGTTTCCTCTGTCTCTTTTCGAACGTGTCAGTCAACCAGTCAGTCAATTATTTTTGTACGTGTGTGTGGTGGAGATGCCTGAAAGAAGCTGGTAACCATCTTTCATATCTATGAGCCACGGTAAGATGTTTTCCTTCACCTTGACCAACCCTCTCTGAGATTTTAGGTTATCTGCTGATTCTGTTTTCCTTCTGCTTTTGGGTTTTCGTAAGTGTGTTTTTGCCATGACTCTGGTCCTGAGCCAGACGGAGGCCTCCATGGAGCCCTAACACAATTTCCTTTCTTTTACAATCCATTTTAAGCCATGGGGGGGGTCATTTGGATAATTACAATAATTAAAACTAAAGGTCTGTAATTAGTATAGGTGGAAAACAGCTTAGCTCTTCTGAAGCTTTCTTTGATATCTTCAGCAGCGCAGATTAGATTAGTTTCAACTTTTCAGTGATATGGGGAGACAATTAGCTTATCCACTGTGTGTAGATTTCTTTGGATGGTTCACCTTGCTGGATTAATGTCAGATTATTTGCTTCAAAGTTTTAAAATTCTAATATGAAACCTTTCAATGACCATCAAAACTCAGAATTCTGATTTATGGGCTATATAAAAATCTTTAGGTGTATGAGTCAGTTTAAAAGGTTTTTAGTTTGTTTATAGAAAGACTCTGCCTCTGGATTAAAGTCTGAACCTCTTAGTAATTGGATTTAGTCTTGTATCTTTCTGTCAAAAATGATTAGGCCTATTTAATTTTTGTGCTCTACATAGTACTAAGTTCAGTGGGATCTTTTAATTAAAACAACTAAATGTGAGCGATCCTGTAGAGTAGATGTGTAACTACACCAATATTAACATAACACCTGATCACAGGATGACACCACCCACCTAAAGTCGTTTACTGTTTTTACTATATTGGAAAATGAAGGAATTACTTGATTAGATCAATTGAAAAAAGAACTCCTGAATATGAATAAAATAGTTTTTTAAGATAGATATCCAGTCTCTTAAGGTGTGTATATGTGGATGTTTGTACAGCGACTGCCGATATTGTCTAGTTATTATCTGTAATACCACAATGGTAAGGGCTGGAAAAACATAATAAAAAAATATATTTTTAAACTTTCTAACTTGAAAAATGTAAATTGTCTTTGAACAGTAATTTTCTAAATGTTTAACAAAAAGTGTTTTCTAAATGAGAATGGAATGATGGATTTTAAAAAAAATTACAAAACAAATTCTGCAGTTCAACTTATATCTTTATAAATATATATGTATGTATATATATATATATATATATCTAAGGAAAACCAGTTGATTGCATCAATTCATTGACTCAAAGGCAATCCCTCACACCGAGAATGCTTGTAGTGAAAGTGGAGAGGAAAAACTCCCTTTTAACAGCAAGAAACCTCCAGTAGGACAAGACTCAGTGTGAGCGGCCATCTGCCGAGGTCGACTGGGCTTCAGACAGAAGCAGGCTTTTTTTTTTTTTTTATATATATATCTATATATATAGATATATATAGATATATATATAGTGTTTGTTCCTAAAACTTCTCAGTGCTAAGTTGCTAAGTGAAGAATCATTTTTTTTTTTGTGACCCTACAATCCAAACTGTTTTTATTATTTTCTTGTTTCTTCAGGACACAATAATCCCAGACTAGATCAAAAGGACAAACACTTTTTCGCAGCAAAATCTCCTCTGTCACTTAACTTCCTCGTATCACTCCTGTTGCCGTCTATGAGCTGTGCCGTGGCAGCACAGTGGGCTGTTCTGCAATCCTGACCCACAGAGAAACTCAGTAAGAGCTCCAAGTAGCAGCAGCAGACACCATGTCTTCTCCTTCCCTCCCCATGCCTTCTCTCCCCCCAAGTCCCCTGGCTATGGAGTACCTGAACGACTTTGATCTTCTCAAGTTTGAGGTGAAATCGGACACTCCTCCTCTTCCACCACCATCCACATATCCCAAATCAGGCCTACCCCATGATTCCTCCAGCTCCCCGTACACCAACAACCCTCCACATGACTCCAGTCTGAGCTCCAGTCCTTACAACTCGCTGCCGCCTTCGCCGACGCTAAGCGATGTACATCCGCCACCCTCGGGCTCTTCCTCCATGTCTTCATCATCATCCTCCATTTCCTTCCCCCTGTCCCTATCCAACAGTTTCACCTCTGGGATCAGTTCTGGGTCCCAGGGAAACGTGGAGTGCAGCCCAGTACATGGTGGCCCTCAAGGCCCCACTCCCACTTCTCTTGAGGACCTGATCTGGTTGGCAGCTCTGCAGCAACAGTTTGGAGGTGAGGTAACAGGACCAGCCACCCTATTAGGAGCTTTGGGAGGAGTGCCAGACAGAGGGGACAGAGAGAGGGGACCAGTTAATGGTTTTTTGGGCTGCGAGGATGCAGTTGAAGCTTTGCTGAACTCAGCTGCAGCAGCAGTCAGCTCACAGGTAACAGCAAAAATCCCACAGCCTTTTTTTCTTTTATTCCAAATGTAGCCTTAAAGGGGAAAATTTAATTTTTCCTATTCAATCATTTAGTTTCCAGGTCTTTCTCAAAGCTCAGGCAGCAATCTGGGGGACTCCAGCAGTGACAGTGGCAGAGACATCTCCTGCAACAAGGCGCCAGACATATGTCCTCGTCCGCTTGTCTTCCTGTCGTCAGCCACTCAAACGGTCCCTAATGGTGCCCCTGGTTCAGTTCCTTATCCACAGCCACTCAGCCCCCAGGCTCGCCTTCATCACCACCAACATCACCATCATCATCCACACCATCCTATGCATGCCAACCATCACCACTCACAGGTAAACCAGGTATGCATCACATTGCTCCAACTAATATTCATGGAAACAGTTATCAGAAAGGGTAAAAGTGATAACAGAAGATGAAAGATTGGGTCAATAAACTTGCATGGAAACTTTTTTCCAATCAGCTACATCCAGTCCAAAAGTTCATTTTGTTGGACAAGACTTTTAAGACCTGGACTCTGACATATGACGATACTGTCCTTCCGAGATTAATTCAATTTGATTCAATGCAGTTTATTTATATAATGCCAATTCCCAACACATGTATATCAAAGCACTTTATAGAGACAATTAAACCCGATTGATTGGAGTATTGAAATTGATTTAAAGTTTTCTATCCAGGGAAAGCCAGTTGATTGCATCGACTAGGCAATTCCTCATACCAAGCATGCATGTAGCGACAGTGGAGAGGAAAAATTCCCTTTTAACAGGAGGAAACCTCCAGCAGAACCAGGGTCAGTGTAAGCCTCCTTCTGCCAAGGCCGACTCAGGTTCAAGGAGACCCCAACAGCAGAATATTTGTTTAAAACACAGAAAAAAGTTGGATTACCCTCTGTGTTCACATGCAGTAATCCATAATATAATCCATAATATATAAAACTAAACAAGAAAAAGATGCAACATAAATTAACCTAGTGAACTGGCTGTGTTTGGAAAGGAGGCTTGGTCTAAATTGTTCAAGTTTTTATCATGTTTTTCATGTCTAGATAAAGAAGACTTTATCTCCAGACAGTAAAAGTCATATGAATTATTTTTATCCACTAAATGACAGTGATCAACCACATGGTGAAAATGTAAAATCTCTTTTCAGGCCATGAAAGAAGATTGTGTTGGTTTCTTTCTTGGTATTTGAGGTCCTCTTTAAAAAGGAGCCACCTTTTTAAAATGGGTGGCAAACTTTCATATCACACCTACATTTTTTACATTTACAGTATTAACAGCACAGTCACAAACCTATAGAGGGACCAAAAAGACCCTTGGCTACAAATAAGATTTGGACCTCGGACCTGGAAATGATATCACAAACCTAACTTTAGCTGCAAATTAATAAAAAGTATATGCATTTCAACTGATTTTTTTCTTTTGTATTAAGGTGCAATAGCTAATAAGCAAGCAGAGCTAATTGAAGTTAAGCTGTTTTAGTTCAATCAAACACAGTAACATGTTCATAAACTATGTTATGACTGATTTCACAGCATAGAAAATGAGAGTTTTACTTGAGGATCAGAAATCAATGATTTGCTAATTGTTCTCAATTGTAGAGCTAATTGCAATTAGCAATGCAAACAAGTATAAAAACTCTCCATCATTTAAATAACTGTTAGATGATGGGAAGTGTCACTTGTGAGGCCAACAACACCCATTGCTCCGCTAGTTAAAGGTTTATAGCAGCGGACCTTCAAAATGTATGGTTATATACAGCTAAATCTTTTGAGTAGTATTTCTAAGGACAATGGGTATACCTTTAAAAAAGAACCTGATTAAAACATTGCATTGTAAAGATTATATTACATTTACACCATTTTAGCAGCATTTTTCTATCAAGTATTTTTTTTATCTCTTATAGCACACAGTTACAGAGCAGACCATCCAAGTTAAATGCTATAATCTATGTCTGGTACAACATTTAAGCATGGTGGTGTTAAGTTATTCTGAAATAATCCTAACTGAACATAGTTTCACAAATATATAAATGTTATAATCAGTGTTCTGGTTGATCAAGATGTCTGGATGGATCTTTATATAGAGTACAGTGTGAGCTTACGTTAATATCTGCTATTATTGCTGTAGCTAATCCTTATAACTGTCACCCACACTTAGTCAGATTACATGACAGATTATGGACATGTGGTGCCGAAATGTGCATCTTGACAGACAGACGTGCTCCCCCCATGCACATAAACGCACACCCACTTTGGCATATCATATGTCGCCCAAACATCCTATTAAACATTAACATAAAAGTCTAAATGTTGGACAAACCTCCCCTACATGCATCGATACTCCCCTCAGAATTGATCTCGTTGCCATTAAGGAAAGGAGGACCAACATATTTCCTCTGCGTTTTGTCCATCTGCTCAGCCATGTGGGGTGAACGAGCGCTTCTCAGATGAGCAGTTGGTCAGCCTTTCGGTGCGTGAGCTCAACCGGCACCTGCGTGGAGTGAGCAAGGACGAGGTGGTGCGCCTGAAGCAGAAACGCCGGACGCTCAAGAACCGCGGCTATGCCCAGTCCTGCCGCTACAAGCGCCTGCAGCACCGTCATGCCCTGGAGTCAGAAAAACATTTACTCACACAACAGGTGAACTCACTCTCTCAAGGTTCACTCACTTTGTAGCAGTATCTGCACCTGCTGAAATTTTCCACATGTTCACATTAAAAAAATTGGATTTTATGTGATAAACTAAAAATGTTGAGGATAACTATGAGGTGAAAAAAAGAACAGTCTGAAAAGTTTTGTTGTATTTAGCCTCCTGTACTCTGATGCTACTAGAAAAATTCAGATTAAAATTCAGTGAAACTATTTTCCTTCAGTAGTCACCCCATTTTGAGTCCAGTCCACCTGTGTTTATTTCAGTGTCAGTGTGACTACAGTGGTTCTGGGAAGAACGCCAGGTTTGTTTGAGAACATTTGTGAACAATAAGCATCAGAGAGATTAAAGAACACCACAGAATGGTCAGATAGAAAGTAAGTTATAAGAAAATACCCAAGCTTTGAGCATTCCATGGAGAACTGATTACTTCATCACCCAAAAAGGAGTGTTTATTAGTGATCAGCTGAGAGGTCAGGGGGAAGCTAGGTCCTTACGCAAGGATCAAAAAATAGGTCAAGAGGTTGTCACTCCTAGGTGAGTTCAGTGGCGTCAATCCAGAAAGTGTTCTTAATTCCATTAATTAAATCTGGCCCTTTTTTGATGCTTAAGGAGCAAAAGCAATATCTTTATGACTTTTGAATAGGCCATTCGGTGCATTTCTTTGGTCCTCTTTCCCTGCCAGAGATTTCAGGCAAAATAAATGTGTAAACTTGATTTCTATGTCATCAGTCTTTTGAAAATGCTATGTAGCTGTTAGAAATGTGTCACAAAAGAATTTCCAGTATAACTGAAATAAGCTGCTTCATAGTTACTACTGTATTTAAAATAGACTTTCATATAACATAAAAACCCCTTTCTGTCTGATTTTTTTTATATCATGAAATATAAATCAAATAAAAAAATACAGAGGACATGACCTCAGTGTCCTCAATGGTAGTTACAGCCCTGGTTGTAACTTGTGATCCACATGTCTGGTGGATCAGTCTGTTGGGGGGAAACAAATTGAGTTGGAAAAGTAGTTCAACCATTCTGTTCAAGCATGCAAGGCAAGGTACACATGTAAAAGTTGCAGGATGAGTTTGAGACCCCTGCTTTACTACGGGAGACCTAAACTGCCCTTTTCTGCTTATATGTAAAAAAACGTACATTTAAAAGAGTTGATAATGGAGTTAGAGCGCAAAATTTTAACCATCAAGTGAGTAAAAGGTGACAGCCAACTCTAAATAAGAATGCCGGCAAGACATATTTTAGATATTTTGCAATGGTGGTTAAAACATATCGAAAAAGACCTTAAGCTTTAACTTAAGATAAATATGTTGTCCCTCGTAGTTTTGATCTGTTAGTAAATAACAGTAAACAATGTGTAATTTTCATTGTAGCGAACAATATCTAACTACTTTTATGTGTCTATCACAAAAAATCCCAGAAAATTGTGGGGAAAGATGAGAAAGTTCAATAAGTGAATACATTTGCAAGGGATCTGATTCTGCATCAAGATGAGTGTATCGTACAAAAGTTGAGTAGCAAATGAATCAAATTCTAATTCTAAAAGGTATGGTGACAAGAAACAAGGCAGAAACTGACAGCTAGGACACTTTACTGAATATTTGATATGAGGTTTTTGTAAAAGCAGCACCCTGCAGCAAAACTCTAAGAAACAATAATTATGTGATTTGTTTGCCTAACTCTGCAGCTAGAACAGCTACAGTGTGAGCTGACTCGGGTGCTGAGGGAAAGAGACGCCTACAAGGCTCGCTACGAGAAACTCCTCAGCACAAACCAAGGTGCTGGCAGCGAGGCCCCTCAGACACGAACCAGTAACCCACCGTCTCCACCCCCGGACTACTTCCTCTGAGTTTAGGTGATCAACAGATGAACAATAACGAAGAGCTTTACAAACCTGAAGCAATAAGTGATAAGTTCGGGGTGTGTGCATGGTTGTGTTTATGTGTGAGAGGAATTTTAAAGAAATTCTTTTTTTAAGTAGTTTCTGGGCTTTAAAATGATATGAAACTCTCTTTACGTGATCAAAAGAAAATAATTTATATTTTTTGACTTTACACGTAAAAAGCGTTGTTTTCATATCCCCCTAACCTTTTTACATTTGATCACATTTGAAAATGTGATTAAACTGTCCATGTATTTTATTTTCATATATATCGCTGTATTTTCAAATAAATTTATTTCTGGGCCATTTCACCGCATGCTGTGATGCAAACTAGGATGTTTTGTTTTTTTCATCAAAGCAAACACTAGAAGATAATGAATAATTGTGTTATGACTATGATTTGTAGCAGGGATCCCACTCTAACTTCCATTTCACAGTTTACATCAGTTTAATTGGTTAAATTGTGATGGTCCATCACATAACAATCTTTAAAATTCATCTCATTGTGCAGATGTTAAGTTACAAGACATAAAAAAGGCAGGGCACTAATCATACAAATTTCCTGAATGAACAAAAACACCTGAGAGCTCTCCTGCTTGTGAACAACATACAAACAAGACTGTGAAAATTATTTTAGAACAATTATATAGTCCCTCACACAGCTGTTTTTTTATCTAGCCAATTATATAACATATTTGCTATGTATAATTTTCATATGTCCAAATGAATGCTCACTGTAGCTTTTTTCCTTCCTTTTTTCATTTGTACAATAAGCTGCTAAAGCTGCAGAGGTCTGAGTAGTGCAGTGATGATATGCGGAGTGGTATGGGATTGGATTAAGTCTCCATGGCATGCAGTTGAAGATTTGCCAGCTAATATTTCACAGTTGCCTACCAAAGTTTTTAAGCTCAAAATGACTTTTTATTCTTTGTAAAGATTATAATAATAGATGAAAGAATGTACAAGGATACCTTATATCCATCAGTGATTGTGACATGGCTCTTGTGAGCAATTTGAGGAATCTACTTTTCTTGCTAGGTTAACTTAGTAGTTTTCAGCCAAGGACGGGGACAGTGTAGACTTGTTGTTTGCTTCGAACAATCTCTTTTACCTGCAAATGCAGAGATTTAGGGTTTTGTAAATATTTCTAAGTGGGGGAAAACATAGAATCAATTGATCACAAAGGAAACCAATAGGTTTGGTAAGGAAATTTGTGTGCTTGCTTCCATCTCTCCAAAGAGAATAATTTTTTTTTGTTTGTTTGTTTTTTTTGGTGTGCTGGGGGGGTGGGGGGCAAAGATCAGCTGACACAAAGCAAACCATGACACCACAGAGCTGGTCACTGTGGACTTTCTTTGAGACCTTCTCTGAGCTGTCTTGTGGATTTATACTGAAAGGTTTCATACTTTAGGCGCTATTTATTTTGTGTGGGTGTAGGTTAAAAACAAATCAATTGTTCTCTTATTTATTCACTTATTTATTCAGTATTTAATGTTTATTTATGTACTTCTAATTATTTCACTGGTTTCTTTCCATTAGTGTGTATTTTTACTTTCTTACAGTTCATTATTTTATTCTGTTGTGATTAGGATTAACATTATTACAAAAGCAATGGCCAACCAAATGGTTTCTCCTGCTCCCATTGTAGTGTGGTTTCATATGTTTATGAAATAAAAAAAAGTTGTTAAAAAATAGCATAGTGTCCATGTATTATTCCACACCTTGCACAGAGGTTTTTACCTCTCCTCTCTGTTTCCATATCTTTCCATCTCCCACGTTCTCCTTTAGACATTGAGTGTTGGGGGCAGCCGCATGCTCCATCCATCCCTCTCTTTATCTTTGTGCTTCTATAGTGAATCGTTGACCCTGGGTGTGTGCTGTTTGGGATGACCTCATCTTGGACTATGCCTCCCCCTCTGTGTGTGTCTCTCGTTCTCTCTCTGGCCTGTATAATAGGGGCAGGATTAGGGCTATAATAGCGCTGTAGCTGTTCACTGCCGGAGTCCATTGTTGCTTTGTGAGGGAGGGGGGTTGGAAAGGGGTGTGGGTG